TGGAAGAAAAACATGCTTAGAAGAAATCAGCATGCAGGCAAATAGCAATACCGGGTCCAGCCATTCTCTATCGTCTCCCCTATAGCACCAGTAGTCCAACGTCCATGAAACAGCTCTGTATCCGACAAAAGCGCGATGGCAACTGAATTTTCAAGTTCATTTTCCGAAGAACAGGAAATCACTGCTGTAGGATTTACGGCAATGAGAGCGGAAGTATGTAGGTGTCGGGATCGTGATAAATCCAAATAGCATATTTCGTGGTATTGGTCGAGTGCTAAAGAGTCGATGACCATAGCCTCTTGGTTCGGTCCGTGGAGGGGCTTCATTGGTTGTAGGTTCGACATACGCCCATAGCGAAGAAGATCGAAATCATGGCTGGGAATTAGCTCCACGCAGAGCCGCCCAGTTGAGCGACGTATCCACAACGTGCAGTTGGACTGATACTGAAAGCAATCACATACAGAAGCCGGACATCCAGCAAACAGGACTCACTAGGTCGTGTTGTAAAGCAGAGAAAACATAGTCTTTCGTCGTCTGCAACAGTGTCAGCGGAGCGGCCGACAGGAATGAGCTTAGACTGTACTTTGAACTCCGTGTACTTGGGAAAGTTTAATATTAATCGCGACAATGGCGAATGCACCTACAGAGTAGCCATATATATACACGGTCAAGGTGGGTGAATGTCGATAAAGCTCCAGGAAATGCCGAAGCGCTATCAGATCTATCAAGAGTCAAGCTAAAGCTCATTATGGAAATCAAAAGCCGTACCGCCGTGGAATACCGTGGCATGTATATTGTGTGAACTGGCTGCTCCATATACCTGCATAATACTCGGATGGCTGCATCTAGCTAAGCGATCAGGTATACGGCGAGACTGTCAAAGCACTGACCGAACCGACATGTATTTCACAATATCCCGCCGCCATTCCTACAAAGAAGACTCAAATCCCGCATCACGAAAGCAGGATGTGACTCACTTTTTCCGCGGTGTCGCCCAGATATATGGCCACCGTCATATCTGACAGTCGGCCAACTATTTTGGCAGAATATACACGGCGAACGCGCGCCCGTCCATGTGCCCAATGCACAACACCAATGTCATGTTCAGATTGGAGGTCAATATCCCCCATCGAGATTATGGGGAAGTCTATCTGATATTTAGCGTCCTTGCTAGCTACGATGAAAATTAATGACCAGGGAGCACAGTGGGAGTGTGGATATAGTTGTTCGTGACGATGGTGAAGGTTCCACCGGCCACAATGAAGTGGCGTGCGTCCGAGAACATTCCGCTGCTAGCAATTTATTAGGCGCCGCGACGCTGATCACAAGAACTTACGGCGTAGGTTCAGAGTGCTCAGCGATCGACTCGGGGCCAGAGTGGTCCTCGATATGACTTTCGCTGTATGATTCCATGGATGGTTCTGGTGGGTGAAAGAGGAAGTAGAAAGAGGTGCTAGGCGCCCGAATGACACCGAGGCGTGTGCCATGTGACATTTTGAAATATTAATAGTATTGGGACCACCAAGACTGCCGCAGTGAAAAAATTTAGAGCTTCAAGGCCTCGATACCGCCGCGGAGGTGACTGCCGAAGTTTACCGCCAAATTTAGCAAACTTTCCTGACGGAGATCGCATGATGACTCCAAAGCGGATGATTGAAGTTGACACAGTATTAGTTATTCGACATGGAAATGGATTTGGAGTCTCTTAGCCGGCTGCAAGTTTGTGCTGATTGATTTGAGTGCAAGCGAATTCGTGGCCGAAGGAAGGTCGATTTGCGGGGGATTTGACCGGCGACACAAAAGGTTGAGCGGTGGAAGAGCGTAATGTGAAGAATTCCGGAGCCCAAGGCGTGGGTGCGGCACACTCCACATGGTGGTTTAAAAGATAAAAAGCCGTAGTGAACACTGAATTGGTAGTGAAGTGCGGCTGCTGAATAACCAAATGATCGCCGTCCACGTCATCTCGTTGACCTAAAACAACCGCACTAGCGAAATGGGTAGAAAACGAGAATCGGCAAAGCACAGCACCCACTTTAGATGTTCTCACCTGGAATCCGTCTCCTCTGGCGTCTGCTCGCAATTCTTTGTCTGCTCTTCATAGCCGGATACGCAGCGCACATTCCCCTACACCTTGTCCTCCTCTACACGGTTACAGTAGCGTCAACGCTAAGCACGTTGCGGATATGGACCACACAAATCTTGCAGCACAGAAACGCGAGAGCCGCTGGCGCTCGCTTGGTTCCAACCGCCCGCGGTCGCTGGTTCGGCAATCTCGACATTCTCGCCAATTTACGTCGTAACTGGAATGTCTTGTATCCAAGTGCGTACAGTTCTGGTCTTTCCTGCAGTGCGGGCTGACTCCTGCAGTCGAGGCTCTGCGTAAACTTCTGGTCGATTCGCACACAAACACTTTGAACGTTCGCATTGGCTGGGACGACAACATCTTGACAACGGAACCGGAGTACGTCAAGATCATCCTTGCTACCGACTTTACGAACTATGTGAAGGGTAGCACTTTTTCGTACCTTTCCATATTCACCGAATTTATTTCAATTATTTTGTGGCGTAGGGGATGCATTCCGCGACTGCATGGGCTCCGTTCTCGGTATGTATCTTCTGATATCTGCGGTTTGTGCGGTCTTACAATCCGAATGATCCACCGGAACCGGCGTGTTCAACTCGGACGGTACATATTACCGTTTGTCTTCTCTTCGGTTTTCCATTTTCATCACGCACCTTAGGGGACATGTGGAAATTCCACCGCGGCGCAACACGTCCATTCTTCAACCGTGACCGCATAAGCGATTTTGATATTTTTGCCCATCACACTGACCGTGCAATCCAACGCATGAAGGAGCGAATGCGCGCGGGATATGCGGTTGATTTTCAGGTGTGTGCCTCGCATCCACGGCGACCGATCGCATTCCCTCTGAATTCTGCCTTCTATAGGACCTAGCCAGCCGCTTCACTATGGACTCAGCTACCTCCTTTCTCTTTGGCTCCTGCGTCGACAGCCTCGCTGCACCGCTTCCTTACCCCTCCACCGCTTCCTCCCCCTTCCTCGCGGCTGCATCCCCCGACCCTGCGGACGTGTTCACCGAGGCATACACTACCGCCATGAATCACATCTCCTCCCGGTCCCGTTTCGGCTGGATCTGGGCGCTGTTTGAACTCACAGGAGACGCGACGCGACCTCAGATGCGCGTCGTCGACGCGTACCTTGAGCCGATTATTGCCGCAGCAGTTGCGCGGAAGGGTGTGCTAGGAGCCAATGGTGCGCCGAAGGGTGAGCCTGAGACGCTGCTTGACGAGCTGTTAAATTTAACTTGCGGTGAACTTGCTATAAAATCCACCGGGAACGTATCGGTTGACGATTATTTCTCTGCAACAGATCCGAAGGTTCTCAAGGATGAGATGTGCGCCTGTTTTATATCATGTTTAACTTACCTAATAAACAGGGCAGGTTGAACATTCTCCTTGGTACGCCAGTCCCTCTATTACGACCCAACTCGCTCATGCAGGAGTTGAAGCGGGGAGGGACACCACGATGAGCGTCCTCACCTTCGTGGTATACTTGTCAGTTCTCCGGCGTCAATTCGTTCCACGATACTGATGCATAACTATCATCCACGCAGCCTATCCATGTACCCCGCTGTCTTCACACGCTTGCGGGCCGAGATCCTGGAGCGAGTTGGATGCGAGAGGCGTCCGACGTATGATGACATCCGCGACATGAAATATTTGCGCGCGGTTATCAACGGTACGTCCTATCTCTCTCCTGTCATTCGATAATGGACTATTTCTTGACCAGAAACGATGCGCCTCTATCCGCCGGTGTGAGTGCTCTATCTTCGACATTCATTTTTTTTTCGGCTGAATACTCACTCGCGGACGCAGTCCGTTGAACATCCGGTAAGCTTAATGCGCGCAATCCGTCGTCACAATTTACTGGTGATGGTTGCGATATTACAGAGAGAGCGTCCACGCAACCATCTGGCCGTCAGCCGACCCTACGCAGCCCCCGCTGTACATCCCTGCCGGCACAAAGTGCGATTGATGTCAATTTCCGTCGTATATCGGGCTCAACTTGATTAATCTACCTAAGGGTCTCGTACTCCGTCTTTCTGATGCAGCGGCGCACAGATCTTTGGGGCCCCACCGCGGAGGACTTTGACCCAGACCGCTTCCTCGACGACCGCCTGCGCACATATGTGCTTACGAACCCGTTCTGCTTCCTTCCGTTTAACGCGGGCCCACGCGTGTGTCTTGGACAGCAGGTGCGCGTCTGGTTTATGCCTTTATTTATTACATGAATTTGAACATAACAAATGGAATGGCACAGTTCGCGTACAACGAGATCTCGTTCATGCTCATCCGGCTGCTGCAGAACTTCGCCAGCACCGAATTGGATATCGACGCGCTCCCGCTCAATGCGCGCGCGCCGCCGGAGTGGCGCACTGGGCACGGTCGAATGGCTGTGGAACAGCTCAGGCCGCGGCTACATCTCTGTGCGTGTCGAAATTTAATTCCTTTTAGCTCACCTAGACCCATCTGATGGTAATTAACAGCGATGTCGGTACAGGTAGGCTGTTTATTTGATCCAATAGATGTTCGATCCTGACGCGTTTGTTTGCAGGGCGGGCTGTGGGTGAAGATGAAGGAGAGTGGAGAAGGGGAGGATTAGACATGTCCGTCCTCAATAAAGGACCCAAAGAGAAAGATACACGATGAAGCCTTTCAGTATGTATTATCAGTTGATGTTCTCTGTGCATAATTCTTCGAAGCAGTTTCATACTAGGGTGTCAGATGTGGTTGTTGCCCTCACTAGCTGTCGGCCGTCCTTTCTCAAGAGATACCCGGCATCCAGTTATACCATTCGGCATCAATCTTCGTCCCATTTCCGTCTGCAGCTGAAGCTCGTGAGACGATCTCACGTAGATGACTGTCGCAGCACATATCCTTCAAAACATGAGCCCTATATTGACCCATCTTCTTGTCCGTCCGATATGGTGTAGCGGTAAAATATGTGCTTCTCAACTGTTGAGCGTCGCGCGTGCTCGGGGTTCGACTCCCCGTATCGTGAACATTTTTTTTGGCTTCCTTCCTCCCTTATTCACTCTTCTTGCCGCTACTGCTCCACCTTCCCGCCATCTCACGTCCTTTGCACTCCGTATCTCCCCCATTCCCCTGGGGCAACCTCTAACGACAGCCTCCATCCCTCCAAGCTCGCACATCTCAATATCATACAACCTTTATCTCACACAGTTCCAATTCCACACCAACGATAGCTACATCTCGATCCCTTTCACACAAGTTCTGCTTCATCAAGGCATTCCTTTCACAGCTATTCAATATAAGTAGCAATTGTAGGTCCAATTAAAAGTGCTCCAAATATTGTCTCGCAGAGCGAGTCTCGGGTAGTCGAATTCATACCAAGTAGTTACCCTCTTTATAAAATTACGCATGTCTGTCGGTCCGAAGCCTTTAAACTCAGCCATCTCCACCTGATGAATGCCATCATGCCGCGTGCTTCTGTAGTCTGGTCTCTCACGGCATACACATCTATGTGTGATGCGATCCACATGCCGCTGTGCCAACGAAGATTCGGCCTTCATACAATTGCCGTCCTATCACTTCTCCTTCCAACAAACTTTGGACATGGGAACGCACTTCCAAGTTGGTGGCTGACAAATCAAAGCTCAGGAAACTCACTGCAGAAACCAAGGGGATGCGAGGCCGCGAAGCGGCCGAGCAACCGCTTGTATTCTTTCAAGAAGCGAGGGTCGGGCACAATTCATGGCCAGTCACATTGGGAGAAAGAAAGTCTATCGGCCATCCTGGACATCGAAAAATTCGAAATTTGTGAACAATTGGTCGAAATAGTACAGAGCCTAGCGTTGGCCCTGGTACCAAAGCCAAGAAGCCGTGGCTTTTTGGCATCAGGCCAAAGCCAGAACATCACTATATACTTGGTACACTTTCGGTGGAAGGTTGAAAGAAGCGGTACACTGTTTGACCCTACTAGCATCTGACCATTCATTTATCTGCCACAAATCTGTCACATCTCCTTCACTTCCTCCACCCACATCTTAGTTTATTGTGGATACCTTCAATGAAATTTGTGCAGCTCTCTCTGCCATTCCTGGCCTATGGAACACTATTGGCATGGAAAAGGGGATGAAGTTCGTCCAATTGGTGGCTTGTTTGAAGGACAAAATCTCCTAGAAGCATTGTTGGAAAGGGCCACATTCTTCAACAGGAGTCATACCATGTGGAAAAATAAACCTTTGGGTGCTGATCCACTGGCACGTGTACCGTGGCACCAAAGTCTCCAGGGAATTTATGCTTAACACTTTGGGCAGAAGACATAGAGAGAAGTCATTTGGAGCAGTTTGTGCCTAGGCATCTGCAGGTGACAAGCACTGGAGGTTGTGGTGGTTGTGGGAAGAGAAAGCCGCATCAACCAAAGACACAACATCACGTTGGCAAAACACACAACACAAACATGCAACACAAACAAAAGACCTCTTTTGAATTTCTGGTATAAATACTACCAAGTGTACCAAATCTGCTGAGCATATTACCGGATATACTGAGTATATAACCTTCAAAGCACACAGAACATGCCCAAGGTATACCAGATCGATGGTATACTTCCGCATTCACGTATGTTCTCGAATTCTCTGTGGAAGTGTTGATATCTGACAGAACAGATATTATGCACAATGACCCTTGCAGTTGTATCTTGAGAATCTGTGTGGAACTTTGCGATCCGACTCACTGGCTGGGGAATTTCCAGATGTTGCTTAATCAGTTCTCACTCATTGTAACTTGGTAGAATATTATAGAACAATTCTAGGTGGGAGGATAAATACTGCTATAATGTAGCAGCAAGATGCACTCTTAATAAATCTCTACAAACTTTCGTACCTTTGCATTTTCCTCTACTTCCAAGAGCCTGAGTCTGATCAATAGAGAGAGAGAAAACAACACAAATTTCCTCTTTATATTCGCTGGTTTGTGACTTCCTCTACATTCATTGACAGTGTTGTGATCTCTACATACATTATGCTTACTCTCTATACAACCTTACTGACTCACTGCTGGGCTGTTCCAACAGTACACATGAAGTCAATGCGCCAGCCACCGGTCAGCCACAGCCATCGAGGAAGCACTGACCAGAATTCGATTGTAGAATGAATTGACTTTGACGTGCACGGATAATGGACTAGGACGAAGCAGCATGCCGCTCGACAAATCCGACTAGCTCCCCTGCGACCTCCTCAATTAAATCCCGCCGCACCAGCGCGTTGCGCCACGCCCGCACCCGCGGCGACCAGAAGAGCGCCTCCTCTCCGTCAGCGCCCTCCTCCTCCTGCGCTGTATACCACACCCCCGCCAGCCCCCCATACACCGCCGCGACCGTGTCCGCGTCACCGCCCATATTCGCGGTGAGCAGCGCGCCGGCCTCGAACGTGCGCGTCGCGAGGAACGCGTAGAGCGCCGCCGCGAGCGTGTGAACGACGTAGCCCGACGAGGGGAGCGCAGCGGCGGAGGGGAGGAGGGCGCGCGTGCGTGCTGCGAGCGCCTCTGCGTCTCCAGCTGAAGGAGTGGCTGCGAGCGCCTTCGTGTGTGCGGCAGCGCGCAGTCGCATGAGGGGGTGGTGCGCAGTATAGTGCGCCTCTATCGCCGCCGGGTCGACGACGCCCGCAGGGAGGGGCACGTCGGCTGCCAGCGCCGCCCGCAGCGCGTCCGCATCCGCGGGCCAGGAATACGCCGCAAAGTGGTGTAGCACATCGAGCTTCGATAGCTGCTCCTCCCCCTTCGCCTCCTCCCGCGCATCTACGCTGCGCATCAGTCTCGCGATACACTCCGTCCACGCGGCACACGCCGTCTGGCACACCGCACTCGGGTGCGTCGTCGCGCTCGACCTCCGCGCATAAGCCGCCGCCCCTGCGGGGTCGCGGAAGTACGCCAACCCCACAGGCAGCACGCGCATGAGAGAGCCGTTCCCGCCGAAGCCGTCCCCGCGCAGATCGCGCGCAATGCGTGCGAGCGCGCTCTTTGCTGTTGTGCGGCGTTTTTCCTTCTCCTTCTCCTTCGCTGCTGGCAATAACCGCCGTGTCTCGGCCGGGGATAACGCTCTGGAAGCTTTGAGAGCGTCTTTGTAGATCCCGAGTGCATGGCGGGTGGTGCTGCCGATGTCGAAGCAGCGCCCGATGGCGCTGAGGACACCGTCTTGGTACCAGCGTAAGTATGCTTCGAGCTGGTCGGCTTCGTCGAAGCCCCCTCTTGTCCCTTCTGCCTGTTGTGAGGATGACCCGCTGTACGTTCCCAACGACCGCGCAAGCGCCAGCATCATACTCGTATCGTCCGTCCACACGCCCGCCCCAAGTGAAAAGTTCCCGTTCGGCTTCATGAGTGAGATGAAGGAGAAGGAGAACCGCGGCTTGAACTCGGCAGGTCCACCGAGCGCGTCGCAGAGCGCGGTCGCCAGGAGGGCGAGGCGAATCTTGGTGGACGCAGAGGCGGGGACGAGGTGTTGGGTGTGCAGCGGTGCGGAGGTTGGGGAAGCCATCGTGCGGAGTAAAGGACGGCAGAGACGGAGGTCATATACTAAATATGCATCGCAATCGATAGGCACAGCACAGCATGCGCACTGCCGAGACGCGTGGAAACGCGATGTGGTGGCCGTGCACTCCCCTGACGAGCTAGAGCGAGGACGAGCAAGGTATACCTATCAGGGCTATAAGGAAGAACGTACGGGCAGGATCGTTATACAACTACTCCCGCGCGACATCAGAAAGAGCAAGAAGAAAAGTCGGGAAAGCACGATGGCGCGCAGTTTGATGGCCGTGATGTTGATCTCCCACGTCTCGCTTAGGACTTAAAACAAGTCTTCCCGCCAACCTCCCGCCAACTTCTTCGTCGCTGTTGCGCCTGCCGACGTGGGGATCATCGGCGTCAATGCTGGTTCATATTGCGAAATTATGTAAGTCTTATAATAAATTGAATCCTACATGATTTGTCTTGAGTTCAAGGGATCATGTCCATTTAGTATTTTGATAAATCATTGAGAAGCAGTCACTGTTAGCATTTGTCAAGGTTAACCACAGACTTTTGGAATTTCGTTATGGGACCCCCCATGTTCTTTTGGCATCTGAACATCAGGGCGAGAAATGTACGCGACACAAACACGTGACCTGTCAACGAAAAGCTTTCCGCTGTTCCCGCCAGTGCATAACGACTCTGGTGTAGTTTTTTTTTGTTTATAAAGGATCTTTACGTGTCTCGAAACAATATGTAACATCCCCCACTGCTTGGTTAAATGGCCCCGGAAGGATCCTTGAAGCAAAACAAAATTGTTCATTCATCTGACACATCTAAGACTACAGGCACCGGAGTTGAGAAAAATTCTAAGGAATATAAAGGCCCATGGTGCTCCATGTGAACTTAACTGAGGGTTTCTTGCCTTTCTGTGCATGTGTGATGGTGCGGACCGCTCCTGCCTCCGTGAATCGACGCACATCACCGCCCATTGTAGCGAGATGATCCGGGATCATCTCGATCCCCTCCCATATTTTGAGCTTTCATCGAGCTGAGAAATATCTTTGCCGCTCGAGGATGGTTTACCTGGGTCTTCAAAACTGGGAGGCCTGCTTCCACTTCAATAATCCTTTTCTTCACCCACTCGAGGCTGGAGTCCTGTGCAATGATTTCAGCAGTTGGTCAAGCCGTAAGAAAAAAAAGGAAAGAGAATATAAGGATACGTACATCTTCCTCTTCATCGGCGATAAATGGCGAGGACGACAGGAGGAAAGGGTCGAGTCCACTCCCTGACCGGGGAGGGGATGTCATCACCTGTGCAGGTAGCACCCTCTTCCGCTTCGTGCCTCGAGCCGGAGAGGAGCAAGGGCAGTGGGTTCCTTCTCCTCAATTACATCATCATCACCATCTGAAACATATCCAGAGGCAACAAGATTGAACTCGGATCCATCCTTGAGACGGAGGAGACGATGACTGTAAAATGGGGTGACCTGACAGCGAACAGCCTTGCGGAAGAAGTCGGGATGGGGTGGGTCGAATGCCTGCCCCAGGTGCTTGCAGAGAAGGAAGGCATTGTATCTTTGCTGCCCGCAGCTGAATGTCCACGTCGAAAGATCTGTAATGTAGACTTGGTGTCCGAGTGGGCAAACCGCTAGGATCTTCCAACAAATTTTTAAACGCCTTGCGGTAGGGAGTGAGCGTTTTAGCGGGTCCAGGATGGAATTCGGTTTCGAAGATCTGCATCTTAGCTTCCGTGTAAAGTAGCACCTCGAACTCTATGAGATAAACGAGCTGATTGAGGCAAGGATGCAAAAAGTGGTGGAGGGTTTGGTGCTTGAGGTTGCGCCAAAAATTCTTCAGACATTGTTGTGCGCCAGCGCCCGATGAATTTTGGCTCGGAGGAACGCAACCAGAGCCTGAATTTTGTCAGACGGTACCATGCAGTCCACATGTAGTCCCAGCCCTCGCACAGTCCACGTTGAAAGCAGAATTGATACGTCTCCCACACAGCATCGTATCTGATCTTCTCGGAGCTGCGAGTGCTGCCTGTGCGATCAGGGAACAAGGGGTGCTCGCAGAAATGGCAAACAACGATGCAGAGCAGCTGCTTTCGGTGGGGTGCCGGGCAGAACACATAGGTTGCGGTGGATGCAAAAGCAGTCTCACCCGGCTCGAATATCCATCCAGGGCCATCCCACCTGTCAACTGCATCGGGATCCCCGTCGAGATCTTTCTCATCATCATCAAGCGAGTCCACATAGCTCTGCAATGCTTTATCGCTGTCGCCCAAGGACTCGGAGTGTGGTGCTCTCTCGAGGCGCCGATTGAGATGGATAACAATTTTTGAGCATGCTGGTGCAGGCTCGGAGGTCTGTCCAGTGAGGCGAAGTTTGAGTGTTGGGATAGCCGTCTGAGCAACCTTAAGATGTTCCTGTATCAGGTTGTTAATGAAGCTAGATAACCGCCAAAAAAACCATGAGTCGTAAGTACCTCTGGTCGGAGTTTCTTGTCCAGTTGATCAATCGGAACAAAATTCCGGTCAATCCAGTCGAACTCTTTGAAAGCCTATGCAGCATTATAATGGGCAGGATGGCGCTCCAGGACAGAGAGACAAGTTTTCACAGCACGAATACAGTGCCAGAAGCAGAGTTGATACTTAATATCATCTGTGAGTTCCGCAAGGAGGGCATTAATAGGGTCAGTCAGAGTAACTATTTTACGACGTTTCTGGGGTCGTTTCTGAGTCGTTTCTGACAGTCGTTTCTGATTTAATTAATCGTGGGAGAAACGACAAAAACCAGAAACGACTCGAAATGTAGAAACGCCTCTGGAGCCGTTTCTACAGTCGTTTCTGCGGTCGTTTCTACACCCTTAATTTGATGGTGGTTTAACTGACTTGCTTATCACATTCTCTATGATTGCGGCTGACCAATCCCCGCCCTTTATTCATCGGCCTTTCTCTTGCGCCCTGCTGTTGGCCCTCTCACGGTGTCGATGGCAAATGGATGCCATGGCAGGAAATTATCAAGGCGAGCTCGGAGGGCAGCATGTTGGCGTAATAGAGCACAATGTTAATGCCCCTTGTTGTTGCAGATGAAAGACTTCCAGAGTTTCTTTGCAGGCTCACTTTGAGTAGCGGCAGGCATGGTACGGCCTGGACAGCCACAAGTGATGGGAGTGAAAGGGGTATGAATACTAAAATTACCCAGAAACGGCTCCAGAAACGACTCTAGAAATGGGTCGGTCAGAGCTCAGGTCGTTTCTCGCACGTTTATGATGCCAACAATTAACAGAAACGGTTTCAGAAACGACCTCAGAAACGACCCCAGAAACGACCAAAAATAGTTACTCTGACTGACCCTAATCTCTGTGATGTCTTTGTCTGATAATACCTGCTGGGTATGAATATGCCAAACAACAGTGATGAAACGAATAGCGGCCCGAAGGTATTCCTCCTTCTCGTTGCGGTCCGGTTTTTTGAATTTGAGAAGGGTAAAACCGAGAGGGACCCCTGAGCCAACTTCACAAAGAAGGGCAAAGCATTTGAAGTCAGCTTTGTTTGTCTTGACTGAACAAATATTAGATGCAAATAAAAATAAAAATATCAGGTAAATGGACTTGCATGTAGAGTCAAGCACAACTTCACGTATAACACCGTCCCACTTGCAGAGCACAGATGGGAATACAATCCAAGGGCACGGAAGCCCTCACTTTCAGGCATTGGGATTGGCACCAACTGGTGTGCTGGGTCAACGGCGAACTCCTGGAGTAGAATCTTGGCAGACTCAAACTCATTGTCGCAGCGTCACCAGTTCACTTGCTGTTGCTTGAACCAGTGATTGTAGACGGCTTTCTGTGTAAAATTCAGATGCAGGTACATCTTGAGTATCTCCTTCCAAAGCTTTGCAGCTGATAAGCAACTTTCCAAGGGAAAAAAATTGGAGAGACACATACCTGAGGTGCACGTAGTTTCGCATTCTCAGCGATAAATTTCTTGATGCCCTCCGGTACCTCAATGCAGACATATTTTTGGTGGCAGTCAAGATGGTGGATATGAACAAAGCAATCAGACTCCTCAGGAGAGGCCCAGATAATCATCCAGCCACCTTAGACTGCATGCCCGATCAAGCCACCAGGTGGCTCCCGGTGGCTGCCGCAAACTCTCTAATACATTCAACAATTTTCCTCTCTATAAAAACTTTGTTTGGTCAATTTCTCTCTCTCTCTATTCAAGTGGGCATCAGAGTATGTAGGTAATAGAGAAAAGTAGCTGGCTATCGGAAAGCACCTGTGTCATCAAAAACAGGCTACTGGGCCATCAGGTGAAGCAGCATGCATGCAGGCATGGGTCAGCACTGCACATGTAGCCCACTGAGCATGTTCCAGTGGGGCTGCCGCATATTGCAAAACCTAGTGAACAACATGATGTGAGCTCCAGAATCTCGTCAAGTCTAAATTTCAGCTCGACTTGGTGCTTTTTCATCATTTTTTTTTCAACCACCTGTTTAATTTCAGACCAGATGATCTGGCTATAAATTCTTCCCTTGAAGCAATGATAACTCCGAATTGGTGTAGGGGTCAACATTGCCGCTTCTCACTCTTACGTAATCCTCATTTGATAACGTAATCTGTGTCGCGGCAGCCCGGGGTTCGATTCCCCGATTCGGAATGTTCATTTTGGCTCAAAGTGTGTTTTTTTCCCTTTCCGCAGCCTCAATGCCAACTCGCCCTCTCTCATGCCTCTCTCTTTCACTGGCATTTTTCCTTTTTTTTTGACACTCGCTCAGTGTAATACGCACTCAAAATCTCCTGATCCAACAATCCTGTACCGAATATGGGTGTTTAAGCAAGTGTTCAAGTTTGGCTCTCGAGTCCGTGCTAAAACCTGTGCCCGCAACATAAGCTACCTACAACAATAGTCATGGTCTTCAGCTTCGATTCCAATCCCCGGGAAGCTTGGTACTGGGTAACCCCTGCACCAATACGGATAGCTGACAATGCCTCAAATCCAATGGGATATTTCCTGCTTGATGCGAACACCTTATCCATCTGACAACCAGCGGAGCTTGTCAGCACATAATGTGCAGATGGTTTCAGATCTTGAATAAACATTAGGTATGCACGTACTTCTGCGGTCTATCTCCATTCGAGGCCGCTTCCGAATCGGCCGTATCTTCGGTCCATGAACGGTTGAAGGGTGAAATCACTCTCGAACTGACAGTGATTAAATGCTGCGATTGAATTGAATTTCATCCGGAAACGACTTTCTTGGCAGGCAGTGATTATTGAATCACTGAATTCAAAGACATCAGTTCTGAAAATACTGCTGCGCCTTATGTAGCAAGATCACACACTGCTACGCTCCGCGAATTGAACTTGCGGGCTGTTCCTCTGTAACTTATAATTACCCACGCAATTACTGAGTCACTTGACCCCAGGGGACATGCCATCAACAGCGTGGTACGAGGCGGTGCCGATGACTCGGTAGGTAGGTAGGTAGGTAGCATTACACGGCACGGTCCCGCTGAGGAACGCCGGTTTGAGGAAGTATCCCAGTGCACTGCAGGCTATTTATGTACACCTTCGTCCCTCACCTCCAAGAATCTCCCGAGCCGAGCTCACGCACCCAGTCTCCCGTCGCGCTGTAGAACCCGTTCGACTCCCAGAAGCAGTCCCCAACATCAAGGCACACAAAATCTCCTCCCACATCTGCACAAAACAAACATTGGAATAATGAGTAATTGAGTCCCCAGCCTTGTCCAAAAAATTCTCGGAGAATCAACCGAGTGGTCTGTGCACGAGAGGTACGACGACATAAAACAGACCACAATGTTCGTTTTGCCATCACTCGCTCTTTGCTCTCTCCCAACACCACCTTCCCTCGGACCTCAGCTGCTCTGGCCGCCAGGCACATGAACCTCGACAACGGCCTCTTTATATCCAAGAAATCTGCCCTCCTTAACAGTCTGAACCGTCCCCGTCGTCAAATGGGCTTGTCCAGCGCACTCAAACATTTGCGGCCTCCTACGCAAGGACGTCCTTCGCGATGCCGCTTGGCCTCATTAGCATCCCAACGGCAATCCGCAAACGGTATCAAAGTTCCAGGCCGCCAACATGCAAGCAAGTCGCCACCCACATCAGCGTCGCAAGCCACATCAACGTCATGTCCATCGGACATCCTTGAGCCTCTGGCCCAGTAAGCCTCCTGGATGCAAGGTACCTTCGGATTCAAGGAAGCAAGTTTGTGGTCTTACGACAAAGTCACGATAATGCAAGTGAATCAAGACGGTTTCTCGCACCTATCCATTCACAGGCCGACATCCGTTCTGGACACTCCCTCTCCAGCATATTTCCATTCCGTCCATGCGAATTTTCCGCAAGTGCCAAGGATCATCGGGAACATCAAGCAAGTCAAGTTCCATTCAATCGCACTCGATACTCTTCCTGCTTCCGCCCGTCTCTTACGGCGAGGATTTTCATACTCATGTCATTCTTATGCTTGCAAATACAATATTTTTTCTCTCATTTTTGGCGTCTTTTTCTAAGTGGTATTGGGATGCGGGGAGCAGCAGTTCCCGGCGCCAATAGCAGCGGCAGATTGTAACAGGCTCTCTTCCCTATTCATCATGCTCTTGGAAGTTCATCAGGCTAATATCAGCCTCTTGAAGAACAGGGATCATGTATAAGCCGTTTCAATTTTTCGTCAGGCTGCCAAGCCTTTTGCGCTCATGTGGGTTGACATAGCCTTTGTTAGTTTTTCCGCCTTTGGTGATGACTATCCCAGAGGAACATCGCGGGCCAGATGTCTACTCTATAGCTATGGACACACCCCAAAATCAGTCAGTCGAAAGGGGACAGTTGAATTCAAAAGGTTAGAGACGTAGCCAAATTCAGCAGAGTGTATGTATGCACCGACGAGGGTGAGTATACCGAGGGCAAGGTGGATGTATGTACATGAAGAACTCAAGACCATCTCGGCAACTGCCTATCACCGACCCTTCTTGCTCCCAACTGTCACGTCTAAATGTTCGGATTTCTGGGTTTGTGGTACAATGCACGGTAGTGCGCGCACTCGGTCAGATCTCAACAGTACCGCGCTGACCCACAAATATCTTGAAAAGATCCCGAACTAGCTTGCCGCACACACCAAGGTCGTTGATGTCCGATTAGCATGCAGCGGCTTACGGACATTGATTTACACGGCTCCAATCTGTCGAACACATGCCATATCCTACTCTTTATAAAATTACGGGTGTCTGTCTGAAGCTTTTAAACTCCGCCTATGGGTATTCGAACCCGAAACTTTGGAAGCGCTCGGTCCAGACCTATGGAACCGCTCAATAAACGGTGCTTCCTCGGAGTGTTGGCCCCATGATCAATTTTAAGCGTGTGCGTGCCTATAAGAATGTACACAATGCCAAACTCCACGAATTCAAGCGCCAAACCTGCGCTAATTATTTAACGGAAGTTGCCGTAGTGAAAGCATGTGCGTGCCACTTTAAAAGTGCCAAGTACCAGCGTTAAACTTTCCGAGGCACTAATTCAAGTGCCAAATTAGTGCCAGTGACGAGAATTCACTTGCAACTTTTCAATTCCGCCCATGCTTTGAAAGATAGGCTTGCCCACATGCGGGTGAAAAAAAAGAAAAAAAAAAGCAGGTGCAATAAAACTTTTTCTCCGGCAAATTGCGCCCCTAATTTTTGTTCAACTGATTTTATCATCTGTTTTCTTATGCAAATGGCTGTAAATCCAGGGGTTATGCATTTTTGAATTCTATGCCCAATCAAGGGGGAGGGGGACCGCGGAGCGGTCCCCCGAGCGCTTGTAGGCTTTTAAGTGGCGTGATTCGATGAGGCGCGGTAATAATCAACTACACCTCAGTATGTCTCGCGATCGCCGGCATGTATTTACAGTAAGCCGTGAAGTCGAAGGATCGCCAAATACACCTCTAGTCAGAGCTAAGGATCCATGAAGGTCACCTACCCTAGCCTCAGGCTCTGATCAAATCGTGCGTGCTGGCATCCATCCTGGACATATCATCCCAAGCCCGTGATAAACATCTTGGTTCAATTTTGGCTCAAGTTCCACTTCCACAAAAACCGCAGATTAGCGCTCCATGAGGCGTATTTTAAAGAGCCTCCAACATGTCACATTCGTCTCCCCAACTTTCGAAAAAGATGTCCTTTCTCCTGCTCTTAGTATGTGTCTACGTGGCGGCAGAAGGATCCCCCCCGCTGAACACCTCTCAACCCGTCACGCCGTCAGTGCTGGCTCCCGTCTTGCCTTATTTCCTGTCGTCTCCCGGGAATTCGCTCATCAACGGGCTCCTCGGCACCCGCCAGTTCTGTGAGGGGGGCGAGAGCGACTGTGGGGATGGCTGCTGCCCCGATGGGTACGAATAATCACTCCATTCTGTCTGATGTGTGGATGTCTGTGGATGCTGATTCATGTGTTACCTCCGCAGATTCTACTGCGATCCGCCTGGGTGCTGTCAGAACGGAGAGGTGTGCGGTGGCATACCGAGTGGATGTCCGAAGGCCGGCGAGACGCCGTGTGGATTTGATACCTGTTGCAGTGAGTTCTTCCAACCATTTTTTCATTCGGATGTTCCTGACCACTTGACCGGAAGGATCTGACGAGACTTGCAGTTCGTCGCCATTCTTGAACAAAACTGTTCATATTCACTGATGGGCCCGGTCCGTGTAGGTGATGACCTTGAGTGCGTGGAGGGAGGTGGTGGCGGCGGAGGCGTTTCACCCACGACAACCCAGGAAACAACCACCAAGAAGACGACGGCCAATACGCATAAAACGACGGCCACCACCTCCTTTGAGGTCACACTCTCATCGGACTTTCCGATCGGTACATCATGTCATCCTGCCCTCCCTTCGCTGAAAATGACACTTTTTAAGGTACTCCCGGGGGCGGGACACGAACCTCGGACGACGGTAGATAATTTATGACTATGTTCTGTATGCCCCCATTGACCCCTCGCAAGGCAATTCCGAAACATCTATTCGCAGCATCACACCGACTGTGGCTGTTCCCACGCACACTAGCGCTAGCTTGTCCATTCTGGCCAGTACTACCAGCGGACCTTCCACGTCGGTGGGATCTGCAACCACGGCTACTGGCAACATTTGCTGGTTCCTTATAACCATTTTGAATATCTGTACTTTCGTTTGTCTCTACTGAAGGGTCTAGCCTGATAATCTTAACTTTCGGATATGTATGCATCCAGTGCCTTCGTTGGAATTGATAATGTAGTGTTATTTTTGTCCATGGCCAATGTAAAAACTAAAAAGGATCAATGTCCTCTCTGTGCGTATTAGTCTATTGCGGTTACTTCCATTGGATGAAGATGCTGCATTGATGTTGTCCAGTATCTTAAGTTGAACTAGTTACAAAAACAAAACAGTCCGCGCCCTAAGTTCCGCAAATAGCTCTAAACGTAACCGTGCACCAGGCTCGAATGAGATTTCAAGAATGTCACAGTCGTACACGAGTGTATCATCATGCCTCCGGTGGCCAAAATCTTGCCGTATCACATACGGGCCGCAAATCCCTCTGGCCAGACGCACGATAGCCAGGCGCGGGGACCGTATTTTACAAAGTTTTATCGAAGAACTTTTGCGCTAGATCACTCGCAAAAAGGTGGTGACGCCAACT